CCCTACACTAGAGGTTTGTAGGTTCACAACACATACTTGGTGTAAACACGCCTCATGTATGTAACAGCTGTGGCCACAACCCTGAAAGATCGACCAACATAAAAATTGTCATGGCATTTAACACAAAATAAATGGCAAAAGATGTTAAAGTTTTGACAAAATGATGAAACTGTTCTTATCATTCTTTGACCAGAAAAATTTAGTACAAAGACTTATTACTTTGCAAATCCATAGAGATACATAAGTGGTATCCTAAAGGTTGAGTTGGTTCCTAATATAACTCTTTAACATGTTCATCTACACTTATAGATGGGAATGTGGGTGTTATAGTTCCTTTTCAAATGTAAATGATCATCATTAATGAAGTCATCACAGATTTATGTCACAAGTGCATTATATGCATCAATATCATATAATATCCCAATTTTACATAAATAAGCAACTTACGATAAACATAAATAAATGCATAAGTTAAACTAATAACTTTAAAATAAATCCAACAAGTACATAGTAAATTTACATGGCATAGCTGTGCAGTCATAGCATTTGGGAGTGGTTATTGATTTCCATTCTATTAGCCATGGTTATGCAGAATCTCTAGGAATTGGGTTTACAAGTACATGCATAAGCCTACATGACAGACAAGTCCGACATTTACAGATATAGCACCTTGTTCAAAAAGAGGGATTGGGAGGTTTAGTCAGTGACTTAATGGCCTCCTTATCCTAATAATTCAAATTATTTTCAAAACTTCCTAACGTTGAAAACGGTGTATAAAAAATTATAGAACATTGCATGTCATACAAGCTTGAAGGTCAAGTCTACATTAAACATGCCAGACAGGTATTTTCATTTCACAAACAACTTAAATTTCATATACTGGAATTTATAAAAAGTGTGCCTATATGATAATTTTTAATGGTAAGGAATAATAAAAATTCCTAATGATATCAAAGCGTGCTGAAAAAGGCAGGCAAATTAAAAAAACATGATTCATAGACTTCATTTTCTGTTTGTTCATGGGGCTTTTGGCCAAAGAAGTGCGGCAATTCCCTTTTTTTTTCCTTCATGCATTGCAGGTTACTCACAGTTTAAGCCCACAATATCAAACTAATATACAAATCTTTCTCTAGTAATTCAATTTACTTTTAACTTTATACCCCTCCCTAGCCCCTCCCCCATACTTCCCAGTTCCCACATTATTAAGATGTAACAGATTATAAACACAAAAGAGACAAGTTGTGCATATTCATGAAATGCAGTTCACACCTCTGCCTCACTTTTACTTGTTGTGCCAATTTCAAAATATCTGCACAAGCAAGAAAGGAAAAAGCAGAAAGTCAGAAAAGATAAATCATAAGAATCAAACACTTCTATAGCAAATGAAGGATAAACCTAATGATTTTTTTAGCGGTAGAAAAAAATTATAACAACAGCAACGAGGATCAAATCTAAGTTCCCATAATCTACTCCAACTCCCGCAACCACTAGGCCGACCCTAGTGGTTATAGCCCTAATAATTTATTTTCTATAAACATCTTTCAGAATTTCTTAAATAAAAGAGCATGCAAAAAAAAAATGATAAAAGCATCATAAGCCCTAAATAAGAGAACAATGATCAGTTATAAGAAATTCCGTTTGAAACCAATCCCAAGCACAGAAACCTAAGGATGTCAGCAGCCAAAAGAATGATAGTTACAAGCAACAGCCAAAAGCATAAGGTTAGAGAACAAAGCAGTGGCATGAGGTGCACAAATATAAGGATGGTAGAGATTGAGGAAAGACATAAAAAGAGATCATACAATTGGCCATGTGCATCTTAATGAGCTTAAAATCCTCAAGTGTGATACCCTTTTCTTTGTCAAGTGGATTCACCATATCCACATCTTCCTGATCTAGAAGATGCTTGCTGCAAGATACAAAACCCAATGAATCCCAAATTAGAACACAAACGGAGAAAGAGTGAATCATGAGGGGGCAAAGAAAGATTAAACATACTAATGAGATGATGTCCAGAAATTCGCAGCCATTTCTTCTTCTTCAGAGATCAGGAAAAGTCAGCCAAAGAAGAAGCAGAAAAAGGGGGACAAAGACAAACACTGTGCAACACTGCAACGTGAAGCAAACCCATTTAGAAGAGCAACCCCATTAAAGATTGATCCAAAATTATATGTTCTACCAAATCCAGTAATTATTAAGGGCGCGAAATTAACGAGAATTTCACAAAACGAAAACGGTGGGTGATAAGCAATTGAGGATGGAAGTAGAAAATACTCAAAACGGAGCGGTGGATGTAGAATCAAATTTGAAAATAATAAAGGGAATAATTATAAATAGATAATAAAAGGCTAAAAAAACTAAATTTTGACGATACAAGAAAGTGGGTACAGCAAATCCCAACTTAAAATCTTTAAACGAGAAAAGGCTATAAACTTAAAAAAAAAATGAATAAACATTAAAGTAAACAACAACGTGGGGCTTATAGAAAAACGACAAAGTGGGATTTCACTTCAGTGCTGCTGGGTGTGGAGAGAAAGTGCACATACGGGAAGAACGAAACATCAGAACAAGGCTAGTGGAGAAACCACTAGTTTGTGTTCTTAATTGATTTCTTGTGTTCGGTTTCTCGTTTTTTAGTTTTTGGACTAATATGTTTTGGGGACATAAATTGAAGCAGAAAATGATTAGGGCAATTCTATTGCCAATGTCCGTTTTACCACTGTTTTAAAACCCGGACCGACCGGACCGGTTGGACCGGGAATCGGTGGTCCATCCGATTCGAATCTTAAGTTGGATTGGTTATGTAGTTGACCCGTTTTAAACCGGATTGAACCGGTCAATTTTCTGGTTCAACCGGTGAACTAGTGGGTCAAACCGGTTCAACCACTTTTTTTAATTTTTTTTTTAATAAAATTTTTTAAGGGACCATAAATCACAAAAATAATAATAAAAATTGAATCTCTTAATGGAAAAGTAAGGAGTCTTATTAAATATAACAATAACTACTTGTTCTAATATATTTGTTTGTAATATATACAACTTAAATAACTTTTATAGTATATTATTAATTTTAAATTATATATTTAATAATATAATATCTATGTAAATATTACATATATTATTTTGTGATATTAATTGCAAGCATATTATATATGTAAATATTATTTATATTTTAATTTGTATTAATATACCGTTTAACATATAATTTTTTTATGTATTTTTTTACAAAATAAAAATAAAAATAATTTTAAATAAGATAGAAAAATTAAAATTTAAAATAAGATATGAATTTATTAAAATTTATAAGTATAAAATATATTTAATATGAATATTTTTTTAATATAAATAAATAAAAACCGAGTCATGCGGTTCAACTAGTGACCTACCGGTTCAACCTTTGACCCACTGACCCAGTACTTTAACCGGTTCGATGACCAGTCCGGTTTTTAAAACTATGCGTTTTACTATTTATCCCCTTAAATTTTTAAAAATAATATGGGTAAATTACATTTTTGTCTTCTAAATTTTTTGTATAATTATGTTTTTATTCATGTAAATTTGAGACATATATATTTTATCTTCAAATTTCAAATTTATTTTATAATTTATGTAATTTCAAAAAAATACTAACCACTAATATCATAATTAATTATGATAAATTGAGATAGATTAAAATAAATTTCTCAAGAAACTATAATCTACAAACACAAATTTTATATTTAAAGGATCAAAATAATATGTTTGTAATTATAAGGATTAAAAATATAATTTTTAAATTTAAGGAGGCAAAAAAAGTATATACTTCACATTTGAAAGAATAAAAATATATTTAAATTAAAAAAATTTAATTCATTTGGTTTCTCTTTATTTAATTACATAATTTTGATTCCATAATTTATAAAATTATACAAATTTTCTAACCATTAATTATTATTGACTATTAGTTAATTATTAATTAATAATAATTAATAACTTGACATGTTGATCTCGATATAACACTTAAATGTTGACATGAATGGATATCGTAATTTTCTAGTATATGTGGGACTCATAAATCCTAATGTGAAATTAACATGACAAAGAAAAAAAATATTTTATAAAATAAAAAAAATGGTTCATAAAATTTAGTGTGACACCCTTTACTTAGATACATAATAAGTAAGGATAGGTTCTTTCTAATAATCACTTTTGATAAAACATCATAATATTTGCATTGAAAATGGTTCAAAATGTAGAAAACTTAAACTCGAAATATGTGTTACTGAAATAATTCTTTAAGTTTTTTTAAAATAAAATACCAAAATACCAACATAAGCTAAAACAAGGAAAATAGTTTGGCTATCTAAAGACCAATACAAGTCATAACAAAAGGTCTTTAAAAAAAATAAGATAAGTCTAAATTAAAATAGCTCAACACATAATATATAGTCTATCCTAAGAACAAAAAAGGTAAATTGCACTAGTGTCGATAACATTATTCTATTATAGCACACCTAAAGGACATACAACAATGTTCAAGACTCATCATCAACACCAACCTCCTAATAATCTTCTCTTGCAAGTAGTGTTCAACCAAACAAAACAACAAAACAAAAGAAGAAAAGGAGTGAGATATGTAACACCCCTTAGATTTAATGTCTTAACAGCTTCACTCCATGACACTTCACATGGTGACACTTTTCACAACTCCTCATTGGTCAAAACCTTTACTAATCAGAATCCTTCAAGAGTAGCCATTTTTTATATGTTTGGTTGTCTTTAGGATCAACAACTAACTCCACAAACCAATATAAGACTTTTTAGCATGTTTTTTCACTCGCATGTCTTTTGGGAAACTTCCCAAAAGGTCACTCATTCCTAAATTTCTCCAAGTCAAACATGTTTAACTATGGGGTTCTTTTGTGATAAGTTACTGAAAAGTAGATGCATCTTGTTGGTATAGGTAGTACAAATTAATTCTTTTAAGTCATCCCCAAATATACAGTCTCACACAAGTACAATTTATGGATCCCTCTCATTCTAGTGTGTTTGGGTTGTTACAAGTCCACCAGCTTCTGCCTGGTTCATATATGGATCTCTCTCATTCTAATGTGTTTAGGCTGTTATAAGCCCATTAACTTTCACTTGGTTCATCCTCAAACCACATTGTGCTAGAAGAGAGGACCTGCTTTGATACCATTTGTAACTGTGGAGAAAAGATAAATACTAGAAAGGGTTGAATAATGTATATCAAAAAGTTGCACTTTTTTGTAGTGATGTAGTAATGCTAGTCAAACGAAGCAAGAACAGCAATCCGATGGAATATTGAGTATTTTTATACTAGTTCGTTTCAATCACCGATACTACGTCCAATTCTTAATCCAACCAGATTAAGTTTCACTATCTTTAAACAAAGATACAAGTATTATTTTAACAAGCCACCTATGGCTTAATTCTAAGTATTCTTTGAACCACCTCTTTAAACAATTACCCAAGTGTTCTTTTAATAACAAGCCTCTCCAAACTTAACAATCAAGTATTCTTTTATAGTTAAGCTTTTATAGACTCAAAATAAGTATTCTTTTACAGATAAGTCTCTCCAAGCTTAATAACCAAGTATTCTTTTACAATCAAACATCTCTAGGCTCAAAACAAGTATTATTTTACAAACAAGTCTTTCTAGACTCAACCTTATAACAATGGTTATAAAGGTTACTTATATGTTGTGTTCATCTCACTTAGATGTTATATAATCAATTACAGAGTAGTGAATGTATATAATAAAGAATGGATTTTCAAAGTGTTTATATAAATGTATATGTATCAATTACAATTACTGTCTTTCTCTTTCTTATGCTTTGAATCTTTTTATATAGTAGTCTAAAGAAGATCACCATTGTAATACTTTTGAGTCCAACTCACAAGTTTGTTTCATCTATCTTCATCATTTTTCCTTGTGGTGACAGGTAACCATTTGACATATTTAATGCGAGAATTAAATGCATTTCACCAAGTAGTACCCCTTATCTGATCAAGGAGGCTACTTATCAATTTTTCATATCAAACGGAGCTTGTAGAAGTAATGTCAGTGCAAAACAACTATAGTAATGACTTTATCTTCTTTTCTTTATGATTTTAGGGATTTAGTTCTAACAGAAAGTATAGTTCTTCTCTTTAACAGATTTGTGAATTCTGAGACAAGTTTTTGATTCGATCTATTAAGGAATAAAAATTCAAAGAAAACTTTGTCATTAGTTTCAATAAATGATAAGTATTTAATGTATATGAGACAAACTATATGCTTCGTCTTATTAACAATCGTTTTACACACGATTTGTGTCTTACGCTTCCTTTGATAAGCCTTTCAAAGATACGTTTCAAATACATTTTCATAGGTATTTCTTCTATATAAAAATGTTTTGTTTGTTAATATTAAAACTCTAAATTTAGGAGATCGTCTTTTGACTTAATATTCTCCCCCTTTTGATAGTGACAAACACGTTTCTATATTTTTTAAGTGTTCATTTTTCTTTTGTCTTGAAAATTTTTTTGCTTTAGTAAGATGAAGGGATTTTCAAAATCTTTCCCTTTGTATGGTCGATCTATCATCTTTCAAAGGTATTTTTCTTTAGAAATTCTATCCTTTTTAACCTTGAAAGAGAGTATCAACTTTTCAATACTTAAAACATTTTTATTAAAAAGGCATAAAAGCGATTCGAAAATGTTCTTATCAAATTGATGTAAGACAAATATCAAAGAAGTTGAAAGATCATTCAAGTAACTTTATTTTTGCCATTATCGAATTGATGTAAGGCATTTATCAAACTAAGCCATTATATCAGACACTATAAAGATACATATTCTATGAGACCTGGTCTTCACATTTGAGAGCTAAATCAAAGCATATATATTCTATGTGAAATGGTCTTCATATTTCAAAGTTAAAACATAGCATATAAGATATATATAACATGACATGCTTATTTTATCTATTTCTTATTAAACATATCATAGCACATTATATTGAAGTGTGTTAAAGCATATTAAACTATACAAGATAGATATGACAAATTGTGCTTGCTTTATCTCTTTATTATTAAGCATATTAAGATATATTAAAGTGTATCAGTGCATATGTTTTATATCAAAGCATATGTTTTATATAAAAGCATATTAAAATATATGAAAGCATAAGGGATCATTATAGCATAACATGCTTGCATCAAAGCAAAGAAAATGTTGAGATGTATCAGAGCATATGTTATCAATCAGAGCATGTATTTCTATTTTAGTAGTTAAAACATATATGATCAGATTATATGAATCTACTCTAAATGCTTTATGCAATGCATAAGGGACTCCACTTGAAAATATGCATGATTTGATGAATAAAACTTGTATAATATAAAGCAAATATAAACTATTTAGAGCATGTGATTTAGAGAAAAATGGAATTAATCAGGAATGATACATACAAATAATTCTTG